CTGAAATAATGAAAGTATTTTAAATAATGGCATTATAAAAAAGTAAAACTTAAAAAACATAATAAAAAAAAAAAAAAAAAAAAAATCCCCCCCCCCCCCCCCCCCCCCCCCCCCCCGCCTTATCGACATAAACAGACAGATATGCATACAGAATAGAAATAAAGGACAGGCAGAAGTAAATAGGGTGTAACAAATAAACAGTAAATAATCAAACAGACAAAAATCAAACAGACGAAATTCACTTGTGAAATCGGCTCTAATAAAAGAACAAACAGAAGGTGCCCAAAGGAGGAAAAGGCTCATGAAGTATGTTCACTGCATCCAGATGTATAGAGTGGATGGTAAAAATAAAGGAGAAATTTAAGGTGACTTTTAAATGCAATATCTTACATTATAAACAGTAAAGTTATGGCTGCTAAGTGCAGTTTCTGGTTTGTTAAATAGATCATTAGTATAAGTTATTGCAGTGTTATTACACCAGGTTATATTGCAGTGGCATTGCAAAGTCTGATGGCAGCAGGGATGAATGACCTGTGCTAGTGCTCCTTTTTACACACAGGGTGTATAAGTCTGTTACTGAAGGATCTGCTCAGCTCCTCTACAGTCTGGTGCAGGGGATGAAATGTGTTGTCCACGATGGATGTAAGATTGGACAACACCCTCCTCACGGCCACTTCCTCCAGCGAGTCCAGAGCGCAGCCCAGGATATAAGGGGCCCTCCTTACCAGCTTCTTCAGTGTCTTTCTGTCCTGCTCTGCGCCGTTAATAACTGTTGCAAAGTAGTTTTCAATAACAAGCTGAGAAATGTCAGTTTTGCTGGTAATGTTCCAGAATCAGTCGTCCTTATAAATATAAAAAAAACGGAACAAAAAACTGCAATCATGAAATCAAATTAAGTAATATTTATGGACCCTTTAGATGAAAAGCCCAGGTTGACACTTATGTCAGAGCTGAAGTAGTAGAAAGCATAACAAATAAAGACATAATAAATCTTTTTTTTTTTTTTTTTACAAGATTACATTTTGTTCCTGAAATTAAAAAGTGTTTATTCAAAACTGTTTCACATTAATTTCTGCATTTTTTAAATTTACAAATGGGCTGGAAGTATTGGCTCATGTTTAATCTAAGCAAGCAGCTTTTGGGGAGGGTCTATGCAAACTCTTCTTCTTTTAAAACAATGCCATCAGCAGTTCTGTACAGTTTCCATTTGACACATAAAGTAACTTTAACCCATGTTGTTTTTCTTTTCTAACATAGTGCTATTAAAGTTGTTTTTGTCTTGGGATGGAGAAATCAGTCATTTGGAGTTTTGTTTTTGTGGTCCTTTTTCACAGTGAGAATTTCATTTGATTTCTATGATATTTATACAAAGATTTATAATTTTGACTGAAAT